AAAACCTTCCTTCCAGCCTGCTTTCTATTTTACCATTCTTCTTTATTCCTATTTTATCTATCTATCTATCATCTATCTATCTATCTATCTATCTATCTATCTATCTATCTATCTGGTTATTACTATCCTCAATAGTCACTTTGCAGAAGAGTGACTAGGAACACGGGCTTTATAGTCCAGTTGGAATCTTAATTGCCTATGTATGTAGCTATTTGACCTTGGACAAGTTCTTTCACCTTGATTTCCTTATCTGTGAAATGGAATATAATACCTACCTCATAGATTTGTCAGAGATAAAATATAATTCATTAAGTACCATTCCTGCTACATCATTAGTACTAGTTACTTTTATTAACATTTTATTTTATTTTAAAGGTGTGATGTTTTGTTTTTGTTTTGTTTTGTTTTGAGATAGAGCACGAGCAGGGGAGGGGCAGAGAGAGAGGGAAGGGGAGAACCCAAGTAGGCTCATGCTCAGCACGGAGCCTCATGAAGGGCTTGAACTCATGAACCACGAGATCATGACCTGAGCCAAAGTTGAGCAGATGTTTAACTGAGTAAGCCACCTGGATATTGTTACCTATTGTTACCATATTTTAGAAAGAAAATTCTCATAATGACAGACACTCAAGAAGTAAATTTTGAATACCATATACTAGAATTTCACACAACGGTCTTTTGGAAGGAATTTCTGTTTCCCTTTAAAGCACCTGACTGCTTATGTGAAAGCACACACTGCAACAAAATGTATGTAGGTGTAACTGGGCAATTGCTTCAGGGTTGACATACACTCCTTCTCACTGGATCCATGGTAAAACTTAGGACCATGAATGGCTGGAGAAAAGTTTCTCATGGCACTTGTCTGGGTTCTCTCTTGAGGTCCCTGGTTACATATTACACTGTAACTACTTTGCACCCTCACAGTCACATCTGTAATTGTCCCATGTGGACTGAGCTGATCCACATACAAGCTCTCCAAGGAGAGAGACCAGAAACTGATGCTTCCCATGTTAGCCCCTGTGCTGGACATGACCTGTAATTCTCACAACTCTGTGGGTTAGGTAATTATTTCTTCTTAATTTTATGTGGCTTACTATTTTTGAATAAAAAAATCATCAGAGTTTTTGTTTATTTTTAAAAATAATTTATTTATTTATTTTATGTATGTATTTTGTGTGTGTGAATGGGAGAGGGGCTGAGTGGGGAGGGAGAGAGGGAAAGAGAGAGAGAGAGAGAGAGAGAGAAAGAGAGAGAGAGAGAGAAAGAAGAGAGAGAATCTGAAACAGGCTTCACACCCAGCATGGAGTCCAGTGTGGGAATCCATCCCATGAACTGTGAGATCATGATCTGAGCTGAAATCAAGAAGTGGCTGCTTAACCAACTGAGCCATCCAGGTGCCCCAAGAAAATAATCAGTTTTAAAATATGAGTGTACTTATACAACCAGTGGAAAAGAAGAATACAATTAATCTGGACCTTCTTGGAAATTCAGGGCACATGGTTACTATAATTATGGTGTCATAATATGGTATATAATACAGATATGATTTCTGGAGGATTAATCTGGTATATTGATCTACAAATCTGATGAAATTCAAATATTTTTTGTAAGTGTATGTGTGAGTATAGTTGCTGTATGAAAACACAGGTTGAACAAAACCCTGTTTTGGTGATTGCCCAAAGAAACATATAGCCACACATAAATCATTTGTATATGAACCCAGTCAGTAGGCAGTCACTCTGTGAAGCTGCTTGACCCAGACATCTTATTTCCAATCTCTTTGAAAGAAATTTTAACACAAGTCCATGAAAGGAATAACTTAAATCTCTTTAATATTACATTAGTTAGCAAAGCATTAAAATTTCAAACTGTTTCAATTGGTTAGGGCCTATCCTTATAAAAATTGAATCATAGTCCTCTGTTATCTTTCCTTCTATTATCTTGTGTAATTTAAAAAAATTTTTTATGTATTTATATACAGTACTTTATAATCCTTTAGTTCTACTTAATGTACAATAGTTGTTTCCAAATTAAGGATATGCTACGTATAAAGTTACAAAACATAAAATAGTAACTTTTATTCACACAAGAAGGTGATTCTTTACTCTTGTATGTGAGTGTCATTTAATTACAAACATAATACTTTCATAAAAACAATACATATAAAGGATGAATTAGAGAGTCCTTTCTCACCTCTTGCCTCAGAGGATGACCACTGGTTATAGTTGAGGTGTTACCTTTCAGACCTATTTCTGTGCCCATGCAAACACACAGATGTATCTTGTAAAGAGTGGTTCTAACAGTCTTGAGGAATTAGGAGCATTGCTATTTGAAAAAAAAAAAAAAAAGTTTGACGATGTTAGTCATTGTGTTAAAAGGAGTCATTTTCACAAATACTGGCAGATTGGTCTATTGTAGCCCAGCTTCCCAACTTTGAAAGAATAGTATTTTATAGCAGGTGTAAAGTCAAGGGCATTTAATGAAATGTTTTACTTTCGATTTTCCATACTTTGCAGTTTGACCATGGATAGTTTATGAAGAGTACTGTGTTCAGGGAAGATGGGAAAAAAGCCCGTTTTAACTCAGTTTTAACTCAGTTTTATAATTAAAATAATAAAACTGAGTTAATCCCACACCAAGATTTAAATCCCTTTAAAATTACTTGTTGCAATCAAGGAACAATCCTGTCTTTTTTTTTTAGCATATTACTAGTGGAATTTCTTAGGTTACTCTTTAAGCCTCATATGTATGTAGTGTTCTCAAGTTGTTAATGACGATTTCCTGTTGCGAGCAAAAACTAGGACTTATTTGGTGTTTGATACTATAAACCACAGTGGTTATAGGGGCAGAGTGAGGTCTGTAAATGGCCAGTTGGATCTCTTTGATACTACTTTGTTCTGTTCCCAGGCCCTTTCTGCCTTGATGTGTTTGTCACTTGAAGAAATATCCATAGAGATTGGGTATTGAACATGAAGTATCATGATTCCTTCATGTAAAACTTTCTGCTCAAATGAAAATGTTAAAATAATACAATAGCCAACTATGGAAATAGCCCAAATGTCCATTGACCAATGAATGGATAAAAAAGATGTGGTGTATACATATATGGTAGCATGCATATGTGTGTGTGTGTGTGTGTGTGAGAGTGTGTGTGTGCTTAAAAATATTTTTAATATCATATGTACACATACACATTCACACACACAGAATGGAATATTGCTCAGCCATAAAAAGGAATGAAATCTTGTCATTTGCAATGATGTGGATGGAGCTAGGGAGTATTATGCTAAGTGAAATAAGTTAGCCAGAGAAAGACAAATACCATATGATTTCAGTGATATGTAGAAACTAAGAAACAAAATAAGGGAGAGAGGCAGATTAAGAAACAGACTCTTAACTACAGAGAACAAGCTGATGGTTACCAGATGGGTCAGTGGGTGGGGGATGGGTGAAGTAGATGATGGGGATTAAGGAGGGTTGTGATGAGCTCTGGGTATTGTACAGAAGTGTTGAATCACTGTAGTGTACAGCTGGAACTAATATTATGTTATGTTAACTGGAATTTAAATAAAAGCTTTAAAAAAATAAAGCATTGTGTTAAGAAGCAAAAAAATAAAATGCACTTAAGTGAAATATGTAAGGAAAGGTGGACCTCAGTCCTTTGTAAAGCAAGGTAATATAGAATGTAGATGTATAAGAAACCTGAAAGGTCTGTTTTGTTGCTGTTTTGTTTTGTTTTAGTGTAGTTGACACACGGTGCTACATCTGTTTCAGGTGTACAACTTAGTAATTTGACAAGTTTATACATCATGCTGTGTTCACCACAAGTGTGACTGCTACCTGTCCCATTACATTGCTATTACTATATCATTAACTGTATTCCTTATGCTTTGCATTTTACTCCCATGACTTACCTCATTCTCTAACTGGAGGCCTGTATCTCCCTCTCACCCATTTTTCCCAGCACATCCACCCCCCCCCCCCTTCTGGCAACATTCAGAAAACACCTAAGATTTTATTTGAGGTATGTGAATAAATACCTCAATATACAATAAATAAATAGCTGTGAATAGTAGCATTAATATCAGTTTCATAGGAATAGTTTAATCATATATTTCTCTTCAGATTTTTTAAGCTCTCTAAAAATTTTGTTTTTAAATATCAATTTGCCACCTGAATAGCTTTTTTCCCCTGAGGATAACGTCCTACAGGATTCTTCTGTGGTTGGGATTTTACATTTTTGAACCAGAGCTCCAGCCTCATGGAGTTCATTGTCTCTCAGGAAAGACAGATAATTGGGCAACTTGCTGATCTTGCTGAGTTCTGTTCTGGGAGAGCTCAGGGCAGAAGCCCCTCTCTTATCAGTGGTGCAGGGTTGGGGAAGTGCCAGCAAGGAAGGCTTCCCAGTAGAGATAACTCCTAAGATGATATTTGAGAGATGAGCACACATCAGTCAGGCAGAGTGATGGGCTTGGCCAGTGAATTGGGCAGGGGACCATTGGCATCTACAAATACCTGGCCATGGGAGGAGCCAGACACAGCTAAGTTCAGTCTGACTGTGTAGAACAATTACAAACATGGATTATGAAAGTAATACATGTCCATTGTACACACACAACTTTAAAAATACAGGAAGCAAGAAAAGACATATGTCATCACTACTTTCAAGCCGCAGAGTTTCCTATGAGCATTGTGCTATGATTTTGTCATGCCTTACACTTGTATTTGTAGGACAACATGTTTGGTATAATCCCAATTAGACTTAAACAATAGACATATATGCAGGCATAAATGCAAATGCATATATGAAAACATTTTAAGTAAAATTGGGATCATGCCAAACATGCTGTTTGTTACTTTATTTTTAAACTTTTTTCTACATTAAAAGAGACTTAATTATTTTAATGCCCTTGTATAAAACTGTATTCTAAGTGGGAATATTTCGTCTCTGTGAATAAGAGAATATTCTTGAAGTTAACTATCTGTATTCTTCTCTGCAGGAAGAGTGTTTTCTCAACCTAGAGGCTCCTATATCAAGAGTATGTGGGTATGACACACCGTTCCCTCACATTTTTGAGCCATTCTACATCCCAGACAAATGGAAGTGCTATGATGCCCTTCGAAAAATGATCAACTATTGACCATATTGGTAAGTCTGCCCTGCATTTTGAGAAAGCCACCATATGTCACTCCCATGAATGTACTATTAACCAAAGCCAATGGTCATCAATGTGTTGGCAATTTCCAGAACAAAATGTGGGTTTTAAGAAAACAAATCAAATTCACAGTGGTATATTTACATTGAATAGAAACACATCAAGTGTACGTATTGTCTGATATCTATAAAACACATGTGTGCACATATTAACATTGAGTAATCAATGAAGAGGGAGATGCTCTGTGCCATGGTTTGATTGCAAATGTACCTCACTCCACTGTTCCAACTTTACCCTCATTTTTGTGTATTTTTATCAGCTATTTAAACTGTTCATGAATAGGGTTAATTTCTGTTGTTTAAAATTTGTCCTTCAAGCACCATTAATTTGGACTCCAGTGAATTAAACTATACGATAATCCATTACATGAAATTTGCATTTGTGTTACCTAAAAATAGGCTTGTTGAACAGGAGACCTATTTATTGTGTATAGGGAAGTTTTTACTTGAAAAAAAAAAAAGTATCCAGCACCACCACCATTTCAGATTCCTTTTTGACAAGTGAATGTTTTGGCTTCTTTAAAGTTTATTTACTTATTTTGAGAGAGGGGGTGAGGAGGGTAGAGAGAGAGGAAAAGAGAGAGAATCCCAAGCAGGCTCTGCACTATCAGCACAGAGCCTGACATGGTGCTTGAACCCATGAACTATTAGATCATGACCTGAGCCGGAGTCAAGATTCTGACAATCGACTGAGCCACCCAGGTGCCCTCAAGTGAATCTTTTTAATTGTGGATAATAAATGATATATATTCATTATGATTTTCCATGCCATCCTTATCTATCCCTTCGGCAGTATTATTCTAGTAAAAATGAATACCATTAAAAATTGTTTCATTTTCAGGGCTTTAATATAAAAGTTGCTATCACTGATATGCTGCTTTATTTTACCTTGGCATTTTTGAAATGCATAGATAGGATTTAATTTTACATTTAATATTTGAATATTAACATGTGATAGTTACATTTTAATATCTAGATTGTCTAAAAAAATAGTAATAGTAATACATTTTGAAGAACCGCTATCGTTCTAAGCAAAAGAGGAACAGGCTGTGTAGTAACGTAAGCCCATACTTCTTCAAGATAAGAAATTCTGTTAATTCTTGCATTCTGTGTATGAGGAGTAAACCAAGCTCATGTAAAAAGCAGAGGGGATACCTTTAAATTCTACAGATAGAGAAAACAATGCCCCCCCATCTGCCACTTCAATCCCCACATTCTTTGCAGTTCTATTTTGACACTACTGCAGATGTAAGTTTAGGTCCTTAAGCGACATATCCCTGGTGTTCTTTCAGACAATAGTAGATTCTGTGTATCTGGTATCCTCTTAATGTCTATGAAAGCAACTGGCCTCTACAGGAAGTCACACTGATGGCTCGTTAGAGGAGCGCCATCTTTGTTTTCTGTCCTGTTCCTCCCATGGTCTATCTGTAATGCAGAATCAAGGTAATGATAATGTGTGCCCGTCGTATTTAGGTGCTGATTTAAATTTGGATATATATTTCTTTTTAAACATAAAACAATATTTAAGCTTATCAAGAAAACATGACAGAAGAGATCGTTTTTCTGTGCTTAAAGCTAAATAGGGCATTGAGGAAAATAGTCATGCCATTAAGAAATCTATGTTTAGTTCATGGTGGCCAGAATGTCTATAATTGTTACTGAATTTCTCTTACAGGAAAACTGGAAGATCGTGATATATGGAAATATTTTTCTTAACATTTTTTTTATTTCCTCAGACTTCTCTCTTCTTGAAAAGAGTTTTAATGAACTGAATCACCTTGGATATTGGCTGAAAATTTTAAATTAGCTATCGTATTAACACGTACGAGTTGATGATTTCCACTAAGAGTGTCTCAGATTAACTTTTTTAAATGTTCCACTTGGTAGTCTTATAAATTCCATTTAATTACATCTGTAAATATTGGGTGTGGGATAATATTCAATAAAGCAAAATCAGATTGTCCTCAGGTCATGTGTCCTTCTGGTTTTTTCATTAGTTAAAAGAATTTTAGTCAGAGTAATAGATTACTTGTTAATTCAATCTGAATGAAAGTGAAATGTTTAGAAATGCTGATTTCCAACTTCATTATATTTAGTATAGTTCTTTGTGGTTAAGATGGTTGTATGTATGAAACTTCTGGAGTATTTTTCCTCATCCTTTTCTCTTGTCTCAATAAGATCCACTGATGGACATATTCACTTTTTCTCCAGAACCTGGTGGGGCAGGATCATCCTTACTTCCTCTCTTGCAACTGTGGGAGCTGGACAGCATGAGCCCATTTTTGTTATAAAATTGCCAAGCTTTTGATAGAGTTGCATATTTTTTTTTTGCCATGGCGTTGCAAAGCAAGTATCTTTTTCCATGCCCTTGCTATTATTATGTAGATGAAAAGCAAAACAACAAATGCTCTGGCAAGAGGGAACCTCTGTGTTGGGGCCATTGCCAGGGCCCCTCATCTCTCACTCTGTCCTTCATCATAGTTTGAGACAGGCCTGAACAGCCTCAAGAATCCCTTAGCTGAACACTCCTTCTCTGGGTGCCTGGCCCTCACGGTGGTGCCAGTAGGTCTGACACCCCTTCCCTAGATTCCAGAAGAAGAGAACAGAAGAGTCTGTTCTCACCAGTTCCAGCAGAAAGATCCACCTCCCTAAAAATCAGAGAAATGGGGTTCCTATAGCATTTTCCTTTCTCTGTAAAGATAATAGATATTTTCTTAGGATTACAAATGTTTATTTTACTTTAAAACTACAATTTAAAAAGTTGCGTTCCATTCATTTTTATCAGATATATTTGGAGGATACAGAAATCTTCAGTGATATATTTGTAGATAGCCAGAAACTTGGACGTAAATTAAAGGCACTTTATTTATTGTAGATTCTATATAGCAATGGGCTGAAACAAAGAACCAGAGCACTGGTTAGGGTAGAAATAAAGCCCTGTGCTTGGTTTAAAAATAGAAATGCCTGTATATTCTAGGCTGGGAAAAGAGGCACTTGTCAGCAACAAGTTTGGAAGACATTTAGTGAGTCCAGTTGGCTTATGATACAGGACATTATGAGTTTAAGATGCCAAAACTCAATATGGACCTTGGCTTTGTCTTTGCCATCCTCCAAAGTTGTGAGGCATCCTTGCAGGAAACTCCTCACTCACATGGTCAGCCTGGCAAAGAGGCAAATACGCGGTAGTCAACCACATCTTGGCCTATAAAGAGTTCTATTCAAACATATTTGTTTTAGATGCTCTAGGTTTTTTAGTTGATATTACTTATGATTTTAAAGTTACTTATTTTAGGTTAGTTGCCATTGATATCTTTTAAACACTCTTTCTTCTATTCATCTGGTCTTGTAAGAATTTTCCCTTAACCATTTTCATTGTATTGTCTGTTACTCTGTTTTGAAATAGCAAGCATGAAGACAACTGTGGGGATAATCTACCCACTAAGAGCCTGAGTTTGAGGGCATTTACCCCTTCCAGTTAGCCCTGCAGTCCCCACCACTAAATACCCTGTTCCCTCCCCCAAATAAATGGCTTACAATTAATATTAAACTCAGTCTGTGGCACAGGATATACGTATACATCTAAATAATTGTCTTAAGTACATTTTCTTTACATGAAACAAATGTTCCCCATTGTGCAAATGAGAATAGGGAAATGAGACACCCAGGAGGTGTTACGTGAACGCCAAGTTCCAAGTCTGCAGGACTCCCAGCTCAGCACAGGAAGGCCACACTCTCTGGGACAGCATGGATATATAAGTGAAGGTAATCTTCTATACTTCAAACTTCCAATTCCTCTAGGGAAAGAAAAAAAAAAAACATGATTAACATCCACGTTCTATACAACTGATACATCTTAACCAAGTTACGTGAACAGACCTGTATAGATTAGAAAAAAATAGAGGTGGCACAAGATCGAGAAAATGACCTTATTTCAACCCCTTATGTTTAAGTCACATAATCTAGAAAGTCTGAGTAAGAATAATGCGAAGACATCCCATAGAGGGTCCACATTTGGTTTCATGAAATCCCTTTCCCATCAGCTTGCCTGCGGTGGACATGTGTGGTTTCCAGCTGCCAGGCATCCCTACCCCCACCTTGTAGTCACAGCGCTGATGTTTGTTTTGAGAACATTTGCTGAGAGCTCCCGCCCCACTGCATGTGGCTCTCGAGGGGCTGGCAACCCCAGTGCCATTCAGCACTAGCCACAGAGATGGCCCTGGCCCAACCCCGTCAGATGCCTCAGGATGGAAAGTCGGGTTGCTCGTGCAGAAACAAAACTTGGCCTCAGCCTTGTCCATGACACTAAATTCTGAAAGACCGACAGCCTCCCTAACTCGTACCCATTCCAAGTATACCTGAGGATATACCTGACGGGTGTTGACCAGTGAGGCACACAGTGTTGCCTTAGCAGACATGGTTGGCTGAGGAGTGAGAAGCGTGACCCCAAAGCCATCCTGTCAGAATTTCCAGAGAGACGTGAGGTTTGGAGACTCTGATACACTCCCCGAGGCCATCTAGTTTGGAAAGAAATAGAAAATGTTCATACATGGGCAAAGATTTAGAAACCCGGATACCTGATACTTCCCTGAACATCATAATTAAAGATATTTGCCAGGAAAATGAGAAAATAAGAACACGAATAAGGAAATCATAGCTGGAGACGACTGGAAGTAAGAATGAAAACAACTTTAAAAAAAAGATCTATATCTAAAACAATGGTCTTAACTACACTTTTATGCGAAACAAATGTTCCATATTGTAAAAATAAAAGGAAATGGTGGTGATAATAAATGTGACTTAAATTGACAAAGATTAGAGTAGTAGATTTGCCAAGAGGAATTCAGAAGTGCCAGATTCTTCAGTTTCAGTAAAGAAGAGTAGAACTTTATTATTCACTTGTTAGTCTTGAAAGTTTAATATTGGTTTTTAAATGCTCCAAAAATTAAACTGATCACTAATAGGATTAAAAGCAGCATGTGTATCTTTCATATCATTGTACAAACCACCTATACTATACTTATTAATTCCACAAACGTGTAGTGGATACTTGTTATGGGCCAGGTACTGGGGTAGATTCTAGGATGCAAAATTAATTAAGAAACATCCTCAGCAAAGAAAATGGGGGAAAAAATGTTTAAAGAACAAGGAAAGAAAAGCAGGAAAATGCAAGACCAAACCTAACAATGATGACAATAAGTATAATAGGGTAAATTCCCTAGTTAGAAAAGAAAGAACATAGAGTGGCTTAAGAAACAAAATCCAGTTAAAAGGTATATACTAGGAAGGATTTTGAAATAAGTTGACCTAGACAGGTTAAAATTTGAAAATGAGCAAGCAAAAGTTAGGCAAAAATAAATATGAAGAAAACAAATGTGGCAGAATTCATATCAGACAAAATAAAAGACAAAGGGAGAAAAGTATGCAGTCAATAGTAACAAAAAGAATATATTACAGGGAAGATATAACAGTTCAATTTTTTTTTAAGTTTATTTTTAAGAGAGAGAGTAAGAGCATGCAAGCATGAGCAGGCGAGGGGCAGAAAGAGAGGGGGACAGAGGATCTGAAGCTGGCTCTGCCCTATCAGCACAGAACCCAATGTGGGGCTCAAACTCATGAACCTTGAGATCATGACCTGAGTCAAACTCAGACCCTTAACTGACTGAGCCACCCAGTTACCCCAAGTTATTTGTCCTAAGGCTGTAATGTAAGCAAAACTTATAAATAGGAAGATATGGACAGAACAGTCATAAAAGACAACTTTGTCACCCACTGCAAATTTGATAGATGAAGTAGATAGGAACAAGTAATAGAATGGAGTCAATAGAAATATATTTTAAATTTTGTCCCTGTAAACAGAGACTGTATTACCTTTTAAAGCATCCATAGCAGTTAAAAAACTTGATCGAATATTAAGGTGCACAGAAAAATAACACTAAATCCCCCCCAAAAGTATTAAAAAACACCATATTTTTTTGTATGTATCCCACATTAATAAGAAATATTTCCAACTACTTAGAATAAAAACATATCTAGCTAAGTTAACTACGGAACCACAGAGGAAATGTAAAACAATTACAAAATATTGAGAACTTAATATTACTGATGTGCTTCAGCCAAGATTTTACTCAGAGGTCAATTCTAGACTTGAGATCTTTTGAAGAGAAAAGTAGAAATACAAGATTGCAAGAATAAAGGAGGAAGAAGCTCAAGAATAATTAAAAAATAAAATAGAATAAAAGAAAATAAAAAGTAAATAAAAGCAGAAAGTTCCAAATGAGAAAAATAAAACTGTAATATTAAAATTATTTTTTCATAAAAATGGAAGTTTTCTTTCATTTTTTAATGTCTATGCCACACGAGGGAATATTATATTACATCTGTTTTTATGTAATGATGGTATTTTGTAGGATTTTTTAACCTCAGTGTCCAGGGTTCACTCTCTCACACCTTTGAAGAATGAAGGAGTGGACAGAATAAAATGAGCGGCAGGCAGAAGTTTATTAGAGGATAAGATTAGAGAGGAAGAATAGTAGGAACGCCTGGGTGGCTCAGTCGGTTAAGCGTCTGACTTCAGACCAGGTCATGATCTTGCAGTTAGTGAGTTCAAGCCCCACCTTGGGCTCTGTACTGACAGCTCAGAGCCTGGAGCCTGCTTTGGATTCTGTGTCTCCCTCTCTCTCTGCCCATCCCCTGCTCATTCTCTGTCTCTATCTCTCAGAAATAAAAAGAAACATTAAAAAAAAGTAAGAATTGTCTGAAAACTCTCTTTACAGACAGGGAACATTCAAAAGTAAATGCCCACGAGTATAGGAAGCGGCTTTGTTTTATAGGGTTTTGCTTGGCCCCTTTCTTTCCTGCTTCATTCTTCTCAGGTCCTACCCTTATTGGCTAGATAACTCTAAGTGCCTAATCATTCCTTTCTGATTGGCTCATTTCCATTGTATGAGAGGTGGTCTATGGCCATACCATTCCTTGTGGGTCCTATGTATTAGGGTCTACTACTTATTTTTAGTTAGGTCAAATTCCTGAGGGAAACCTGAGGGCGAGTAGGTGGTGTCTGCTACATTCTTAAGGGGAACCATAAGCCTGAAGGAGTTTGCTGGTGGTCATAGTCTCCCAGCATTGTCCCAAAATGTGTGTTTTTCCCCAGCCGGGGACCTTCAAGTCCTAGCCTCTTTCTTTCTGCCTACTGAATCTTATCTTTTCCTATCATAATATCAGCAAATAAAGGCCACATAATGGCCATGCCTACAATGGCTAATACTGTCAAGTTCCTTTGTTTGATGGGAGGAAATTGTTTAGTGTAATCTAATCATTTACCCATAGTATTGATAAGTAAATGCCTTTGTTTTTAGGATATTTTATTCCATCACTTTAAGAAAATAATTACTAAGGTCTTGTTTTGCTAAAAGACCTTCAGTTTCTTGCTGAAGCCTAGTTGGCTACCACAAATATTTTATTTACTCTAAATTTTCAGAAGATACAGTGACTATCTTCTGAAATATAATTATTTTTGAAATGTTTTCTTGGTCATTTAAAACTTATTACTTATCACACTGGGAATTTCCCCCTCTCTATTTACAGTGTTTTACTGGTTCCACTGAGGCAGGAGAATTTGGTCTCTTTGTTTACTACCAATTCCTCAGAGCCTAGAATAGTGTCTAAGCTACAGAGGTGCTCAATATGCTGCTGAACAAACACATGAAGGGAAATGCAGACCAATACTTGAATTAGACCTTGTCTAATCAGAGCACTTAGGTAGAGAGGGCTCTTTAGGAATGTAGACATTTAAAGTGATAAGGATACATATTTTTTTAATGTTTATTTATTTTTGAGAGAGAGAGAGAGAGAGAGAGAGAAAGAGCGCACACAAGTAGAGGAGGGGCAGAGACACACACACACACGCTGAATCCGAAGCAGGCTTCAGGCTCTGAGCTGTGAGTGCAGAGCCTGACTCAGGGCTTGAGCCCATGATCTGCAAGATTGTGACCTGAGCCAAAGTCAGTTGCCCAACCAACCGAACCATCCAGCTTCCCCTTAAAGTGACATTTTAACAAATTGACATTTTAATAGCATTTGATACTTTATACCAGTTGATAATACTATACCACCAGAGGCTTGGGGTTGTATTTAATTTCTTAAGGAATTTCAGGAACAGTAACAGTCCTTTCATATAGGACTAGACCTCAAGGGTCCCGAAAAGATGAGCGTTTCTATATTTCTATATTTTTAGGCCTGTTTCTTCATACAGATTTCAAAACCATGTATTTTTAAATGGCTTCATGACAGTATTGTACACTAAACTGTGTATGCAAATAGACAAACCAGAAAGGAATTCTCATTCAAAACTGGTAATTTGGGAACAACAATATTGTCAATAAATCTTCTGTATTTTCTTAACTTCTATTCTTGGAGTCACAAATGAAAGGTCATCCTGGCTCAGGGTTATCCTCCCCATGGTCCTCTCTATGCTATAATCCTCTTCTTTGTGCTTGGTAGAGTCTGTAGACTTGAAGCTGGGTCAGTGGTAGGACACCATTTCATTGGCCACAATGGCTGGTTGCAGGATGGAAGGTGACCAAAATTGGGCCAATCAGAGCCCTTTTTCAGGATTTTTCAAACAAATAGATCTGGACAGATGTTATTCTGGAGGGACCCATGACTACCATCTTTATCTGAAAAAGAACAGGGTCCTCGTACTGAGGAAAGCTGCAGCACAAGGTGAGCCTGTCCTCGCCAGATTTCAGTCTTTGGAGTCAGTCACACCCAAGACCAGCTCCACTTCTGCCATGTGCAACCTCATGGTTCCATTCTTCCTTTCGTTCTGTGAGGAATTACCCCAGGATCGCTCCAATAAACTATCTCTTTGTCCTATGCTGAATTCGGTTGCTTGCAACCAAAAACATTCTAATTTGATCATTCTAAATGCTTTGAAATGCATTCAATTTGACAGAAGAAAGCCCAGGTGCTTTTAGTAAAATACACTTGGAGAAAACCCTCCACCTTTGGGACTAGTGTAGGTATAGTTCTGATATTTTTTCTTATCTATAACATGCAAATTAGCTGCAAATACTGTTGTATTAATGTCAAGTACCTTAGCCATAGAATAAATGAATTCAGACTTTCAGCCTACAAAAGTTGAATGCCCACACCTTCCCTTAGGCCAGGAAAATGAGCAGTTCCACAGCATCTGTCTTTTAGAAGATGAATTCTTTGGGTCTTACTCACATAAAATTCTTTACTGCTGTTATAAGACCTTAGAACCGTTGTTAAACTTACCCATATGGCTGAAAAACAGCCCTTGGGAATTTTCTTCTTCAAAGAAATTTAAAATGCCTATTGTCAGTCCAAGAGCAAAAAATTTTTTGAGAACACTTTGTGCAAATTCCTTATATTTATTTTCCTTCTTGTGAATCATATATTTGCTTTCACCCTTCATCTTTTATGTGAAATACTTCAGAGGTTAGAGAACAATGTAGTGAATGTCTGTGTGCCTTACCTCTAACGTAAAAATTGTAAAGTACAATTCACCTTCCCTAGGCTACCTTAGCCCAGAGGAAAACTTAAAGTCCTATTGACAGTAACAAGAAGTGTTTAAAACAATTGTGTCAACTATTAGATAGCCTCACAAAGGTTTCTCTATTTAGGGGAATTGCTGGAGGGTTGCTCTGCAGCAGTCATTTGAACAGCACGTGGAGTCCATGCCTCTCTGGTTCTGGCTCCAGCTCCCTACAGAAATATCTGCTGCTAGCCCCTATGGAAGGCTCCTCGGGGCTGCTACTGCCTCAGGGGTCACCTACAGCTGGCACTCACTGCCCTGAATCTCCCTTCAAACCCCTCCAGAGGGCCACGTGTAGGTGTGGATGCTGTTGATGCTGTTCTTCACTGGGGCCCTGGAGTGGTGACGGTGCTGTGTTCTCCCCTGGAAGCAGGAAAATCTCTCATCGCCCATTGAGATACATGGATCCCAAGACAGTGTGGCCATGTGCCCCCAGTCTCTCATGGATATTTGGTGAGAGAGATCAATTATCCTTAGAACCTCTGTCTCTTCCTGGGGCTCAAGCACTGTCACTGGTCTACATCTGGCTCCCTAGCTCCCTCTTCTCTGAGGATAGGCTTCTGCCCAAGCTGCTCTATTTCTCAGTACACAGACCATCAGCCAATTTGCCCGCCAGTCTTGCAGACCAGTCTAGATCCTGGAGCAAGCATACTTCAGTCCTAACTTGGTTTACTCTTCTGAGGAAAGACCTCATGTCTATCAGATTTATTTGATGTTCTGTGCACAGTAACAATTTTCATATAGATTATGGGAAAATTGCCTAGGAAAAAAAGGAGCAACAGTGGTTTGTGATTTATGCATCTGTATGATTAGATACAATGTAGAATTTGCAAGTAATGATTATGAAAATTATGTAGCAATATGGAAACATGCTCATTATATACTTTTAAGAGGAAAAATCAGGATGCAAAATTATATGTGTATTATAATTACAAGTATTATTCTGATTTTTTTTTTTTTTTACTCAGGAATAGAGAACATAGGCACTGTTAATATGAGGACTGTGAATTATATCATGATAGAAGGGAATTTCTTTTTTATCAAGTTTACTGCAAAGTAATAAAATACTGAATATATACTTTACTAAGTTTAGCAAGTATTAAGCACTGTGTGACTGTCCTATTCCATAAAACATAGTCCCTAAGCATCCGTTCTAAAGAATGTTTTTGTCCATCTGATTACTGCCAGAACCTGAAATAAAATAAAACATTATTTATTTTTTCACCATCCTTCCTTCCCTCTCTCTCTCTCTCTGTCTCTCTCTCTTTCACACACACACACACACACACACACACACACACACACACACACACACAAATGATTGGTTAGGTAAACTCTGAAGAGAAAGTTAAAAAAGAAATCATCTACTACAGTACTATACTAATGCCTTTGTAAAGTTTAAAAAAAATTTTAAGTTTATTTATTCATTTTGAGAGAGAAGAGAGCATGTGCAGGGGAGTGGCAGAGAGAGAGGGAGAGAGAGAATCCCAAGCAGGTTCCACACCGTTAGTGTTCAGCCCAAGGTGGGGCTCGAACTCAGAAACTGTGAGATCTTGACCAGAGCTGAAATTAAGAGTTAGATGCCTAGTAGATTGAGCCACCCAGGTGTCCTGCCTTTGTAAAGTTTTGACCTTTCTATTAAGATGTATTAGAGTTTGTTAGGGTCACAGCAGGAAAAAAGATGTCACATTTGTAGGTTTCAACTGAATAGAGTTTTATATTAAAGCGGTTATTTACAAAGGTCTGAGCAGCTATCAGGAACTGGGAAGGAAGAGTGAAGCGTCTAGGAACTGACAACTCTTGAGAAGTCATCGCCGAGGGGGAAGGAATGGCCGAGATCCTAGTGAGAGGTAGAGCCATGGAGGGTCTGCCTGACTAGAGGCCAGAGAGGTGGCCGGAGAGAAACAGCATGGCTACTCACAGAACAGCACAAGGAGAGAGAAGAATACATTCCCTGCTCTCTCCTACCTTCTGGTGGCCTATCAGTGCGTCGCATCTGTCAAACCCAATTGCAGGCCAGTAGAGCAAGATCGCCAGTTGATGCAGTCACTGGAAGTCAGCTTTTCTGGAAACAGAGAAGGACAGAAAAAGGTGGAGAATGGATTTAGAGAGGCCGATGGAGAATAACTGGCACAAGGAGCCCACAGCGATGCCATGTTATAGACAAAGAGATTACCTGTTTAACTACAAGCTGGTCCTTAATGTATTGTCAAGTTAGCTAACACACAGTGTAGTCCCGGCTTCAGGAGTAGATTCCTATGATTCATCACTTCCACACAACACCCAGTGCTCATCCCAACATGCTCTCCTTAGTGCCCGTTACCGATTTCCTGCTCCCCCAATTGTCTTCCTCAGTTGTTCTCTGTATTTAATCGTCTTTTAAGGTTTTCTTCCCTCTCTTCGTACTTATTTTTCCTTCTCTTCCCCTATGGTCTTCTGTTTAATTCCTCAAATTGCACATATGAGTGAAAACATGTATCTGTCTTTCTCTGACTGACTGACTTCACTTAGCATAATACCCTCCGGTTCCATCCATGTTGTTACAAATGGCAAGATTCCATTCTTTTTCATAGCTGAGTAGTATTCCATTCCATTGATGAAAATTTGGGCTCTTTCCATAATTTGGCTATTATGCATAGTGCTGCTATAAACATTGGGGTACATGTGCCCCTATAAATCAGCACTCCTGTATCCTTTGGATAAATTCCTAGTTGTGCTATTGCTGGGTCATAGGGGCGTTCTACTGTTAATTTTTTGAGGAACCTCCACACGGTTTCCCAGAGGAGCTGCACCACTGTGCATTCCCACCAACAGTGCAAGAGGGTGCCCATTTCTCCACATCCTCGCCAACATCTGTTGTTTCCTGAGTTGCTAATTTTAGCCAATCTGACCAGTGTAAAGTAGTATCTCAATGTGGTTTTAATTTGTACTTCCCTGATGATGAGCAATGTTGAGCATCTTTTCCTGTGTCTGTTTGCCATCTGTATGTCTTCTTTGGAAATGTGTCAGTTCATGTCTTCTGCCCGTTTCTATACTGGATTATTTGTTTTTTTTGGGCATTGAGTTTGTTAAGTTCGTTACAGATTTTTGATACTAACCCTTTATCTGATACATCATTTGCAAATATCCTTCTCCCATTCTGTTGGTTGCCTTTTAGTTTCGTTGATTGTTTCCTTTGCAGTGCAGAAGCTTTTTATCTTGATGACGTTCCAATAGTTCATGTTTGCTTTTGTTTCCCTTGCCTCTGGAGACATGTCTAGTAAGAAGTTGCTGTGGCCAAGGTAAAGAGGTTTTTGCCTGTTTTCTCCTCTAGGATTTTGATGATTTCCTGTCTCACATTTAGGTCTTTCATCCATTTTCATTATTTTTGTGTATGGTGTAAGAGTGTTCCAGGTTCATCCTTCTGCGTGTTGTTGTGCAGTTCTCCCACCACCATTTACTAAAGAGACTATCTTTTCACTAGGATACTCTTTCCTGCTTTGCCAAAGATTAGTTGGCCATACACTTGTGGGTCCAATTCTGTGTTCTCTATTTCATTCCATTAGCCTAGGTGTCCTGTTTTGTGCCAGTACCATACTGTCTCGATGATTACAGCTTTGTAGTATAGGCTAAAGTCTGAGATTGTGATGCCTCCTGCTTTGGTTTTCTTTTTCAACATTACTTTGGCTATTTGGGTCTTTTGTGGTTCCATACAAATTTTGGGATTATTTTTTCTAGCTCTGAGAAGAATGCTGGTGTTATTTTGATTAGGATTGCATTGAATGTGTAGATTTCTTTGGATGTATCAACATTTTAACAATATTTGTTCTTCCAAACCACTAGCTAGAATGTTTTTTCATTTCTTTGCGTCTTCTTCAATTTCCTTCATAAGTTTTCAATAATTTTCAGCGTACAGATCTTTTACATCTTTGGTTAGGTTTATTCCTTGGTATTTTATGGTTCTGGGTGCAACTGTAAATGGGATCTATTCCTTGATATTTCTTTCTGTTGCTTCATTATTGGTGTATAGAAATGAAACTGATTACTGTACATTGATTTTATATCCTGCGACTTTGCTGAATTCATGTATCGGTTCTAGTAGGCTTCTGGTGGAGTCTGTCGGGTTGTCCATGTAGAGTATCAGGTCATCTGTGAAAAGTGGAAAGTTTGGCTTTTTCTTTGCCAATTTGGATGCCTTTTATTTCATTTTGTTGTCTGATTGCTGAGGCTAAGACATCCAATACTATGTTAAACAACAGTGGTAAGAGTGGATATCCCTGTCATGTCACTGATGATAACTGTTGTGTTCCTGATCTCTGGGGCAGAGCTCTTGGTTTTTCCCCATTGAGGATGATATTAGCTCATATCATGAGCCTTTCATATATAGCTTTATGCTGTTTCTCCTATCCCAACTTTCCCCAGAGTTTTTATTAAGAATGGATGCTGTATTTTGCCAAATACTTTTTCTGTATCTATTGACAGGATTATACGGTTATCCTTTCTTCTATTAATGTGATGTATCACATTGATTGACTTGCAGATATAGAATCAGCCCTGCAGCCCAGGAATGAATCCCACTTGATCATGGTAAATAATTCTTTTAATATACTGTTGAATATCTTGTTGAGAATTTTTACATCCATGTTCATCAGGGATATTGGGCTGTAATTCTTTTTAGTCGAGTCTTTGCCTGGTATGGGAAGCAAGGTAGTGCTGGCTTCATAGAATGAATCTGGAAGCTTTCCTTCTGTTTCTATTTTTGGAACAGCTTGAGAAGAATAGGTATTAACTCTGCTTTAAACGTCTGGTAGAATTCCCCTGGGAAGCCATCTGGCGCAGGGCTCTTATTTGTTGGAAGGTCTTTGAAAACAGATTCAATTTCTTTGCTGGTTATGGGTCTGTTCAAATTTTCTTTTCTTCCTGTTGAGTTTTGGTAGTGTGTGGGTGTCTAGAAACTTGTCCATTTCTTCCAGACTGCCCAGTTTGTTGGCATATAGTTTTTCATAGTATTCTCTAATAATTCTTTCTATTTCTGTAGTGTTGGTTGTGATCTCTCCTCTTTCATTTGTGATTTTATCTACTTGGGTTCTCTCTCTTTTCTTTTTGACAAGTCTGGCTAGGGGCTTATCAATTTTGTTTATTTTTTCAAAAAACCAGCTCTTAGATTCATTTATCTGGTCTACTCTTCTTTTATATTCTATATTATTTATTTCTGCTCTCATCTTTATTATTTCTCTTATTCTTCTGGCTTTGGGGTTTCTTTGCTGCTCTGCTTCTAGTTCCTATAGGTGTGAGGTTAGGTTCGGTATTTGGGATTTTTCCTGCTTCTTGAGATAGGCCTGGATTGCAATGTGTTTTCCTCTTAGGACTGCCTTTGCTGCATCCCAAAGGGTTTGAACTATTGTGTTTTCATTTTCATTTGCTTCCATATACTTTTAAATTTCTTCTTTAATTTCCTAGATGACCCACTCATTTTTTAGTAGGGTGTTCTTTAACCTACTATTTGGAGGCTTTCCAAATTTTTTCTTGTCATTTCTTTCAAGTTTTATTGTGTTGTGATCTGAAAATAAGCATGGGTATGATTTCAATCCTTTTATATTTGTTGAGGGATGTTTTGTAACCCAGTACGTGATCTGTTTTGGAGAATGTTCCATGTGCACTGGAGAAGAATGTGTATTCGGCTTTTGGATGAAAACTTCTAAATGTATCTGTCAAGTCCATCTGGTCCAGTGTATCATTCAAGGCCATTATTTCTTTATTGATTTTTCTGCCTACATGATCTGTCCATTGCTGTAAGTGGAGTATTAAAGTCACTTATTACAGTATTATTATCAATAAGTTTGCTTATGTTTGTTGTTATGCACCAGCTTGGTGGCATAAACATTTATACTTTTTAGCTTTTCTTGATAGATAGACCTCTTAATTATTACATAATGCCCTTCTGCATCTCTTGTTACAGTCTTTGTTTTAAAATCCAGTTTGTCTGATAGAAGTACAGCTACTCTGGCTTTCTTTTGACTTCCAGTAGCATGATACATGGTTCTCCATCTCCTTGCTTTCAATCAACAGGTGTCCTCAAGTGCAAAATGAGTCTCTTCTAGGCAGCATATACATGGATCTTGTTTTTTGTGTGTGTTTGTTTGTTTTTTAATCCATTCTTATACCCTATGTCTTTTGATTGGGGAATTTAGTCCATTTATATTCAGAGTGATTATTGAAAGATAAGGATTAGTGTCATTGTGTTACTTGTAGGTTTCATGTTTGCGGTGATGTCTCCAGTCCTTTGTAGTCTTTGCTGCTTTTCACTGACAGAGTCCTTCTTAGGGTCTCCTGTGGGGCTGGTTTAGTGATCATGAACTGCTTTAGTTTTTGTTTGTCTGGGAAAACCTTTATCTCTCCTTCTATTCTGAAAGACAGCCTTGCTGGATAAAAGATTCTTGGCTGCATATTTTTCCTATTCAGCACACTGAATATTTCCTGCCACTCCTTTATGACCTGCCAAGTTTCAGTGGACAGGTCTGCGACTACCTTTATGTATCTACCCTTGTAGGTTAAGGCACATTTGTCCCTAGCTGCTTTCAGAATTCTTTCTTTATCTTTGTATTTTACCAGGTTCACTATGATATGTCATGGTGTTGACCTGTTTTTGTTTATTTTGAAGGAAGTTCTCTGTGCCTCCTGGACTTGGATGTCTGTTTCCTTCCCCAGATTAGGGAAGTTCTCAACTACAATTTGTTCAAATAAACCTTCTGTCCCTTTCTCTCTCTTCTTCTTCTTTTGGAACTCCTATGATACAGATATTATTTCATTTCATTGAATCACTTAGATCTCTAATTCTTCCCTGTGGTCTAGTAATTTCTTTTCCCTAATATTTTCAGCTTCATGATTTTCCATAATTTTATTTTCTGTTTCACCTATTCTATCCTCTGCTTGTTCCATCCTTGCTGTCACTGCATCTAGTTTATTTTGTACCTCATTTACAGTATTTTTAAATTCATCGTGACTAGTTCTTAGGTCCTTGATCTCTGCAGCAATAGATTCTCAGATGTCTCTTATGCTTTTTTCAAGCTCACCTATTAGTTTTATGACTACTCATCTAAATTCTTGCTCAGATATATTGTTTATATCTGTTTTGACCAATTCTCTGGCTGTCATTTTTTTCTGGAATTTCTTTTGAGGAAAATTCTTCCGTTTCATCATTTTGGCTAGTTTTTTGCCCCTTATGTGTTTTAAAAGCTTGTTATGTGTCCTGCACCTGCCAGTACTACTATGTTAAAAAGGGGTCATACACTGTCCAGGGTCTGGCACTTCAGGAAGTATTTCTGGAGTCTGCTGTATGCACTCTGTTGTTGCATCTTTGGCTGCTCTATCCCACAGCTCATGGTGGATTTTTTGAGCCTTCCACCAGGTGCGCTTTGATTTGTTCACTAAGTAACCCTAGAAAAAAAGGGGAAAATGGGGGGGGGGCTTTTCCTGTATAAAAAGAGAAATCCTGGGGCTCCTGGGTGGCTTAGTTGGTTAAGCGTCTGACTTTCGCTTAGGTCATGATCTCGCGGTTCGTGGGTTCGAGCCCCACGTCGGGCTCTGTGCTGACTGCCAGCTCAGAGCCTGGAGCCTGTTTCAGAGTCTGTGACTCCCTCTCTCTCTGACCCTCCCCTGCTCACGCTGTCTCTCTCTCTCTCCCAGAAATAAATAAAACATTAAAAAAATAAAAAAAAGAGAGAAATCCTATACAAAGAGAGGGTTTGGGAAATTCTTTTAAAAATACAGAGAATCAAAGAAACTATAAGGCTTAATCCAGACAAAGAGAGAGAAAAATGAAGAAGCAGATAAAGAAAAGGTATAAAAACAATAGAGTAAAAATGCCTGATTAAACACACAACCAGAACAGAGAGAGAGAGAGAGGGAGGGAGATCTTTATATATATATAAAGGAATTGACCAAAAGTCAAATGAGAACCTGAGTCTGATTCCAAAGGAAAGGGGGGAAAAAAAAAAAAAGAAGAGGAGGGAAGAAAGGAAAAAGGAAAAGAGAAGAGAAGGAAAGAGGGAAAAATTAATAATAAAAAGCAAAACAAAAACAGACTAACATACCAAACTGCAGGACAGTTGTCTGCTGGTGCCTGGGACCAGGGGCTGTGTTGGTCTGGAGGAGAGGCCATCTGGTTCTGTGGGTGTCGGTCTCATTCCAGTAGATGAGCAGTTATGCAGTTACCAGGCACTGAGGGGCGAGGTGTGGTGTAAGCGGTCCCGCCCCCACTGGGGGCATCTGTCCTATTCCAGGGAGCCCCACAGTGTTGATGTTGGGGAGAGAACTGGCAACACCCCAATCTCTCCTCCTAGGACCGGGTGTCTCCAACCATGCTGTTCAGGCAGCCTTCACAGAGTAGCCCAGGCAGGTGCCCTTGTTATGCCTGAATCGCGAGTCCCCAGAGACCTCCAAGGAGCCGGCACCGATGCAAGTACAAAAGGGTCTTTATTACAAGCTGGAGCAGGGGCTCACCCGTCTACCGGCACAGCGGCAGCAAAGTGAAGCCCCGAACAGTGGCAAGCAGGGTTTTTATGGGGGAAGGGCAGGGGTGTTACCGTGCACACGTACGTTTTGCATCATTACATAAGCACCAGTCATAATTGTACAATATCCATAGTAACAGCATAGTAACAGTTTTGACCATTCAGTATCTGTGAGGCATCTGTTACTTTTGGCGGGACCCAATCATGACCTTTGAGAGTCTTTTAAAATGACCAATTATGAGGTGGGCTCAGAGAATCTACGTGGGGCTTATGCAAGCGGTGATTGATTGGCAAGTTTGTACAAATAACTACCTGCAGTTACCAGCCCTGACTCGTCTCCAAGACTACAGGAACGTTACACATTTCTTTTGATTGGCAGATCCGAGGGCGGTCCGAGGGTGGCTTCAGCTGAGGCTTTTTCTGGAACTGGGAATACGTGCAGCCTGAGGTTGTTTCTAATGGAGGACTTAATTTCTAATGGAGGACTTAATTTCAGGCTCCTCACCCTGCCCTGCTCCACAGTCTCCCTAGTCTCCTAAGTGCTCAGCTGGGATTCAAAACCCAAAGAAACTATAATGGCTTGATCCAGGCAGAGGGTAAGGAAAATAAAGGAGATGTAGAACATGTATCAAGAGAATGGATTAAATATGTCTGTTTAAACAAACCACCAACCAAAATAACCAGACTAGAGAAGGGAAGAGCTAAGAAGAAGAAAAGAAAGGAAGATGTAATTATATAATAAGAATTGTTCAAGAAATAAACCAGGCAATGCAACCTCGCTGGTCTGGAGGAGGGGCCATCTAGTTCATCGTCAGGCTCCCGCAGAGACGCAGTTACCCAGCGCCGAGGGGCGTGGTTTGGTGTCGGGGGTCCGCCTCCACTGTGAGTCCACGGGTCCGTTTGCTGAAGTCCCACCTATGGCCTGTAGGTTGTCCCTTTGGATCCCTAGATGCAACTCTGCCTCTTTTCCTCCTGGACTCTTGGGGTTCAAAGTTCTTTGGCCTCACCACGGCTTTATTTGAGAGATGAAGGAACTCCCGATCCCCCTCCTTCTCTGCCATGTTGACCCCTCCCTCCAACCGCTCACTTCCGTGGAACTGCGGCTTCGACTTGCTCAGATCCTCTGGGGGAGGGTCTCACTGAGCAATGGCCAGGGCTCTGGCCCACCCCCAGGAACCTTCGCGAGACCATGCTGCTGCTGCTGCTGCTGCTGGTGCTCAGAGACTGCGGGCTGGGTGCCAGCCGGCCCCAGAAAGAGATCCCGCGAACTTGTAACAGCAGCCGTTCAGGGTTTATGGAAAATCACAACACACATCTAGCGCCCAGCTTCCCTCTTAACATCCTTGTTCCAATACCAGCAAACGCAGTTGTTCTCCAGGGTCCGCTGGGACCTGTTGCCTGTTGGGGGGCTGCCCAGCCTCTACCAAATGTCCTCCCTGCAGGGGAACTGCCACTCCTCATGTGGCCCGTGGACACCTCAGAGCCCCTCTCCACTCCTGGGGATTCGCCCTTCCCATCGGAGCATCACCAGGTATGGAGCTGCACCGAGTTTCAGGCTCTGTGGTCCCTCTGTTTATAGAGTCTTAATGGAATTTTAACCCTCTCCCTTCTCCCTTTTTTGTTCAGTCCCTGCGGCTGTTTCTACTTTTACGCTTTCTCTCCAGCTGCTTTGTGGGGGAGTGCTTTTCCCGTACTGTCCCCCTCTGTCTCTGTCACTCTCCGCAAGAAAATACAGCTCCCTGCCCTCCGCGGCTTCTCTCTCCCCCAGCTCACCTCTCCCCGGTCGTTGTGTACCTGCTGAGTTCTCAGGTTGTGGCTCAGGTTGTGCAGATTGTTGTGGTAATCCTCAAATCGGTTTTCTAGGGGTGCTGGATGATTCAGTGTTGATCTGGCTGCATTTGAGGGATGAGAGACGCAAAAAAAACCTTCCATGATGTTCTGCCATTTTGGCCCCTCCTGGGATTCAAAACCCAACGTATTAAAGGATCCTGCTCTGCGTGGACTTGGTTCTGGCGAAGCGCCACTTCCCCCAGCTGCAAAAGGCCTCTGGCTGTCACCTGCAGGGTTTTTTGTCCTTGGAGGTCAATAAACCCTCTTCCCATAGTACTTGAGGAAGGGGACTGTTACCTCCCAGTGTGCCCCTGAGATTGCTACCACACCCTGGGCTGACTCCCTCCCGGCCATACGATGGTGGCTCCGGTCTGGAGAAAGTCACACATCGCGGAAAACTCCGATCTTCAGCCAGAAGCTGGCTTTCTCCATATTTTTTAATTTCCCAGTCCGTGGTCCAGCGAGGTTTTTCTCTTGCCCAAATACCACACTTCCACAGCCTCTCTTTGTCTTCTTTTGTCTCTCCACAGAAGGGGTCCCCTCTCCTCTGTGCCTATGCTGCCTGCCACTTTATCTCTCTAAATTCACAAACATGCACCTCTGTCCTGCCAAGCTTTCTCTGTACACCTGCAGAGATATTTCTGTCACCCCAGAGCCTGTATTCCTGGGTGTTCCAAGTGTTCTGACCTCAAGCTGTGTTTGCGGGACAAGGGAAATTCTGGTCTCCCTAGTTCTCTGCCGTCTTAACTCCTCCCACAAGCTTATTGCTTTTAAAGCTGGTGAAAATGTAGATTCTTTTAGTCATACCAACTTTTCCTAGGGTGGGGGCTAGGTTTTGATGGCTATGTGTTCTGCTGGTGGAAATGTGTAGCATTTATATCTATATCCTGTATTTGTGATGATTTTCTGTGAGTCCTCAGTCTCCCTGCAACGCTCTGGATTGAGGGCAAAGCTGCCACACTGGAGATGTTCTGTGCTTACATCTGTTTTGAGGGTCCACGATTTTTCTCTCTCCTTTCATTTTATTGGAGCATACCAGTAGATTCCTTTTAAAAATCTCAATTTTCTGAGACCTTTCATGTCAGAAAATGGCCTTGTTCTAACCCTTGATTGGTAGTTTGGCTGAGTGTAGAATTTTAGGCTCAAAAACATTTTTGTCTCTGAATAGTGAAGGCATTGCATAATCTTCTCACATTTTTCTAAGTCTCTTATTATTTCTCTCTAAGTTTGTGTCTTTGTCAGACTTCTTGGGACAGTTCCTTAACGTCTTCTGACCTTCTTTATGTTATTTTTCTTTTGGCCGATTTTTTTAAACCTGTATTAATCTCACAGCACCCTCTTATTTTAAAGGTGAGATATATACATGTATGTGCACATATGTGTGTATACGCATAAATATACATATACATACACGTGTGCGTGTGTTATTTTAATCTCTTGGGATATAAGAGCTATGGGTTTTTGGAAGTTTTGTTGTGTTTTCTGAATTATATTGTTTTCTCCAGTTCTACTTTTCTTTTTTTTTTTTAATTTTTTTTAATGTTTTGCTTATTTCTAGGAGAGAGAGAGAGACAGCGTGAGCAGGGGAGGGTCAGAGAGAGAGGGAGTCACAGACTGAAACAGGCTCCAGGCTCTGAGCTGGCAGTCAGCACAGAGCCCGACGCGGGGCTCGAACCCACGAACCGCGAGATCATGACCCAAGCGAAAGTCGGACGCTTAACCGACTAAGCCACCCAGGCGCCCCTCCAGTTCCACTTTTCTGTTTGTTCTCTTTTGTCTTATGTATGGCGATTTCTAGTCATTTTTATTCAAGACTGAGGCATCAACAGTTGATTTGGATTGTAGTATATACATGCAATGGAATATTATTCAACCCTAAAGATGAATGAAGTTCTGATATATGCTCCAACGTGGACAAATCTCTAGAACATCCTGGTAATTGAGAAAAGCTAGAAGCAAAAGGTTACATATTGTATGATTCCATTTATATGAAATATCCAGACTAGATAAATCCATGGAGATGGAAGGCACATTGGTGGCTTCCAAGGGCTGGAGGAAGGGGATAATGGGGCAGAGAGTGCTTAATGGGTAAAGGATTTTACTTTAGAGCAATGGAAATGCTTTGGAGGTGGATAGAGGTAGTTGTATAACATTGTACATGCACTAAATGCCACTGAATTGTTCATTATAAGATGGTTAATTATATGTTATGTGAGTATCATCTCACTAAACAGTTTTTAAATGTTTATTTGTTTTGTGTGTGTGTGAGAGAGAGAGAGAGAAAGAGGGGCAGCAGGGGAGTGGCAGACATGGCGGGGGAGAGAGAGAATCCCAAGCAGGCTGTACGCTGTCAACACAGAGCCCAGGGTGGGTGTTGAATTCATGAACTGTGAGATCATGACCTGAGCCAAAGTCAAGAGTTGGACGCCTAACCAGCTGAGCCACCCAGGCGCCCCTGTGAGTTGTGTTTTGGAAGCTGAGTGGACATGGGTGTGTGGCAGGACTAGCGGTGGCCTTCGTTTCTGGGTGATTAGGCAGAGAGCCTGTCATGTAGAGAGGGCTCAACATTGTTGGGACATGAAAAAACTTTCTCTGCGGCTTTTTCTCAAGAAAAATGTTCTAATCTGCGGCCTACGGGGTAGCAGCCCAGTTCATTAAGAGCTGGTTCTGGGGTCTGGATGTAACGTTGAATTCCATGTTTTTTACCTTGTGCATTTTCTATTCTTGCTCTGAAGCAGATTTTCCTGGTCCCAGAGGCTCTCGCTCTCAGTTTTGCCGCAGACAAAACCTCTGGCCTCCAATGGGCAGGTAGACATGGCGTTCTCATGGGAGTGAGGAAAGGGAACCCCATGGCTTTCTTCCTCTTGCCTCAACCTTGCGGTGGGTCTTGGCGCAACGCGTCAGCCTCCTCCCATCGGATGGGCCTGGCCCCCACTGTCCCGCCTCTGCTGCAGCTCCTCTCACTGATTTCATTCTTCTGACCACATTCTCATGTCCCCTCTCCAGTTTTCTTTGCCATTGGGGTTTATACTTAAATTTTTGTTTCATTATTATTTTAATGCCATCCCTGGAAGGAGAAGAGATAAACCTGTTGTTCAACAG